TGGAAAATATTGACTGGATATTGTTGCTTTTAAAGTAGATATATTAAGTTTTTGATGGCAACAATGAATTTTGTTAAATTTTTCTTTAAAATTTAAATGCGATTTATCGATTTAAAGTTCTTTTTTTATATCAAATGAAATGAAGGGAAAGGATGTGGTAAATTATCAAGTTATAGTGAGAAAATTCAGAGTTTTATTGAGTAACTTATTATAGTTATTATTTTTGAAAATAAAAGAAAATACTCATTTCTTTGAATCATGAGAGATTAACCATTTCCATCATTTAACGGAAAAACTGAGACTAAAACTTTGCGTTTTACATAAACTTCTCATAAACATGACTTTCATGCGGCCTTGAAAATTTTAATTGATATCAAAATTTATTAAATTTAATTGATATTTTATTCCGACATTTTATTATTAGCGTTACATTCCGCCCTTTTGTCTTTTTGATAGTTAATCTTTTTGATGGAATTTTAGTAAGCATAGTGCAAAAGTTTCATGTCTCATCATAAGTTATCGTCAGAGAACATTAAGAATATATTTCAATTTAAACGTCTTAGCTACAGAAATTATCAAATCTTACATATACAGTTAAACATTGAAGTCAAATAAGTAAAGCTTCATTTGTTAACTTGAAAAATTTGGCACATAGTGTCACGAACTTGAACTGAAAATTTGTTAACCAAAATTTAAAATTTTATTTGAAAAAATCAATAATGTTGATCAATAAACAACTTGACATAGAAATAAGAATCCAAAAAGACAATATCTCATAAGGAAACACTTCTGAGAGCAAAATCGAATGGAAATAAAATTATTTGTGTTGAACCCGTGTTATTTGTAGAAAATCAAGTTAATTGTTCATTATTACCATACGATTAAGACTATCACAATGAGTAATCGAAAGTATTCTAATAGATTTCTAAGACAGTAGGCACTTTATTTAATTCTAAATTACGTGAATTATTAATTCCAAGTTAAACGAAACGTCCTCCAGTAGAGTTCGGTTATGTGAAGAATGATTTTTGAACTGGCAATAAGCCTAGTATAAAAACGTATCAAATTATAGGAAATATAACACTAACCCATTTGTATAATCACAATTATTGCCTTAAATTAAAAAAAATCTAAACTTAAATAATAAATTGCAAAATGAAAAAAAAAAAAACAAATTTTAATAGTAAATTAAGAATCAAAATATAAACCATTAGATAAAATTTACATATACATAGGTGCTTAATACAAACGAAATAATCTTTTTAAAGAAATTTAATTGCCATTATTTTCTCAATTCAGTGAATAAATTATTCATTTTATTCTGAATATATAGGAGAATTTTGTTCTATTTATAAGGTATACAGTAATTCCTGTGTGATCCTAATTTCGAATAGAATTTCTTTTTCTATTTAAAAAAAACAAAACAAAAAAACATAAAGCCTTTAAAAAAATTATAATAATGAAAGTTCCTAAAAACACAATTTCCTTTTTAAAATATTTTTCTAGATTGGTCAAATAATAGAAGTACTTTGTAATGGTTGTTCATATAAAAAATGCTTTTAAACGTTTTTTATACGTATATCTGAGCACAGGTGGTCTCATGAGTTGTTTTCTATTTATGTGTGGCTCTAAAAGAGGATATTGTGTATCCTTTAGAGAAAGACATTGAAATTGTCAATAAGAGGTTTTAATTAGATCAACAATGAAAGTTAGTTATAAATTCTAAAATGAACTTTTTTTCAAACACAGAAATATCTTTCTTAAAGCAAGGAAATGGTATTAAAAATTTTGAAGATTTAAATCGAATTTCATATAGTTTGTAATAATAGACGTAAAAGCAATTTTAATATTGATGTAATTCAAAACAACACAATAGATTCAAAATAAATAAAAAGTTTTCCATAATATTGAAATTTGTATAACAATTGAGTTGCTTAAAATACTGGATTTTTTTAAAAGTACTTTTACTGTTAAGAGTTAAAAATTCCATTCAGGAAAACTGCTACAACAATCTATATAATTTCCGATTACAAACCACTAGTTTATTTGAATATTTTCTGAGATTTTAATTAAATCGTAGATGCTAAGAACTATAAAACGATTTCAAATAAAGTTTTAAGAATTTTGACAACATTACCAAATTCGTTTGTAGGGCAAAAATAAATTTTGAGATATCGAGAACTCACATTGGGAGTTATACTTTAATTATCAATTAATAATTAAATATGAAAAATTAAATTGTGTTCGAGCACTTGCTACTAATAAAACATTAGTGAAAATAACCTTGCTAGAGTAAAAATGCTTTTTATATATAGCTTCGATGGATGGATGGATGTTTGGGTGGAAATATACTATAGTAACACAAAACATAAATTGGCCCTGAGGCAGAGTTTAATATTTATATTTCTTATTTTTATTTCTTTCACCCTCTTATAAATATGAGTGATCAATTTGTGTTGATTGAGGTTTGAACAAAAATATGATTCTTAAAATTCGATTCCAGAAGCTACAACATATAATTTTTAGTCGCTTCTAGCTCATCAAATTCAGTAGGATAATTAATACTGCTCTTCCCAAGCAACTTAAATTCCAAACCATTTTTTAAACACGTAATTTAGGAACACCCTGTATATAAAGTTTTTATACATATACAATTTGTATAGAAAAATTTATCTTGATAAATTTGTAAAGCTTTTCTAAATTTTTTTTCTTTCTCTATTTTACTCGTTTCCTTCCTCTTAATGACAAATAACGGCAAAACAAAATATTGCCTAAAGGATAAAGGACAACAATTCTAGTAAAATAAAAAAAAATAATTTTGTATAAAAAGAAAATAAGGAGAAACAAAAATAAGATAATAAAAAAACCCATGAAAAGCTTAAAAATTCAAAGAATGAACTATAAAAAAACCAAAAAAAAAGGAATAAAAAAAAGGGAACGACAACAAAAATTAAAGTAATCCACATTATTTTACAAAGAGAAACAAATGAACAAAGCAAGGATTCAAGTAAAAAAAAAACAAAACCAAACAAAACAAACAAAAAAAAAATAAAGAAAATAAGAAAGGCTTGATGAAAAGTCTACAACACAATAAAAATTGTCTTTGTACCATTTCTAAAACAACAGCAGAAAAAAAAAGTATATAACATTTATAAGTATATATACCAAAAAGGATTTACTTTAGAAAAACGAAAAAACCAAAAAGGATAATATAAAAAAGGAAAAAAAAACAAGATATAGAAACAAAAGGAACATTGTATGATGATGGGATAAAACAATGGCATAAAACATCCAAAGCAATAAAAAGCGATTCCATAAAATGACTGCCACTAGTCACCATTATTATCTGCCAATGATAAAGATAAATCGGTTGATTTCTCTATACTCTCTCTTTACCATTTTTATTTCTCGATTTAAATATGGTGATCATTTAAAAAAATAATAAAACAAAAAAAACTAGAAGAAAGCCAAAAAAAAAAAGGGAGTGATAAAAAAAACTAGAGAAAAGCGCCCAACAATTCTTTTTAGAATTGGAAGAACTAAAAAAACAAAATAATAAAAGAAAAATTAAATAAATTGTTAAAGGATTTTCCATATCATATTGAAATGGCAGCAAAAATCACCTAGAAACAATTTCTTATTTGAATGGACGATGATTGTTGAAGCTTAAAAAAGCAGTAAGGAAAAAAAAATACAATGTAAAAGAATTTGTAATAATAGTTACCTAAATGTTTTAAAATAAGGACATTTCTTAGACAAATTTTTTTTAGATAACCTAGATTTTAATATAAATGAAAATTGTATTCATAACTTTAAAAATTTTTTGAAAAATTTAGTTTCATCACTGTTCAAAATGTGATGCATATTTCATTTTTTTTCCTATATGTGTGAATTTAAAAAAAATTGCATACTTTTAGGTAATTTTATATTATTTTGCACTTCATAATTTCATAATAGAATGGTAATTCTATAATTTTCAATTTTCTAAATGCACAAAAATAATGAGGACGGGTAGTTGTTCAATTTATTTTTGGAAATTTCTTGAAATAAATAAAGAAAATCTTTTCAAATAACTGCAAAAGTTGGATAACGTATCCAAAAGAGCGAGCCAGAAAAACTGAGCTTTATAGCTGAGTTCTTTGTAGAATGTTCGTGTATACAGGGACAGGTCGCTGGTTTGAATCCAGTTCAAAAAGAAGAATTTTTTTAATTTTTCTATTTTGATTTATTCCTTTGTTTACATCATCCAAACTGTTCTGCAGTTGTATAATGAAATTTTTTTTGTTTTTTATTTTAAGAAATAATCATAATCTCAGCTTGGATTCTATTTGATTCATTTTAAAACTTAGAGTTTCAGACGAAGACAACTACCTAATAAATTTTTAATATTCATTAATCATTATATTTGATACAATGACCAGCATTATGTAATACTTTTAGGAACAATTTTAATTTTGTTTGACACAAATTGGAATTAAAAATTAATTGGATGGAATTTATAAATAGTAATGTCTTATACAAGGTGAAAAATATATTGAACTGAATCGAAAATATTTGATCCGTTCGAATTTTGGATTTAAATTATCACAAGACAATCAATCTTATAATCTATAAGCACGTTTTATTTTAATATCCTAAAACACGCTTATATAGACAGAGGATATGATAAGAAGAATGGATGAATTTGAAATTAAAAATGTTTAAAAAGATTTGAATAAGATAAAGAAAAAGAGTGCTGGTGATAAAAAAAACAAAAAAAAAAAATATAAAATTAAATAAATTCCCACTTTGTGGGTTATTTTTATTCATCTTTCATCTAAAGCTTCATGTCTTCAATTATCAAACAAAGTCCCATTTATCTTTTATCAGAAAATCGATTTGCATATTAAGTTTTTCAAGCAAATTTTAAGCAATATTTTTTCTTCAATATACATTTGAAGTAAGACAAATTTGTAATAGCTATTAAAATAAAGAAAAAATTAAAAACACATTAAACTTACCCAGAACTTTCTTGTTTTCCAGCAAAATATCTCATATTACCAGCCGTATCAACAACACGTATTGAATTTATACGTCTTGCATCGCTATCGGCAATATATAAATCACCGAATGGTGAAAATGCCATTGCTAATACAGTTCCAAGTACATTTTCTGTTAAATTATTTTTATTTGTTTGTGTTCCTCCATTATTTGTATTAACACCAGCATTATTACAATGTAATGGTGTACCAGCTACAACTCTTATTTTCATATCAGATGTTAAACGTAACACCAGTCTATCATCAATGAAATGTAAAGAACCATCTAATGGACTCAATGCTAAACCAGTTGGCCATTGTAATTGTGCTTGATTTGCCATTAATGTACCACTACATGGTGCTGGACTCCAATGATTATGATGACCATGATGTCCAATTAATGTATGTATAATACCTTTTGGATCAACAGCACGTATATTTGTACCATCAGCAATATACATTGTTTTATCAGCTGCTATTGCTAAACCTTTTGGATGTGATAATCTTGCTTGCATTGCTGGACCTCCATCTCCACAATTTCCTTTTTTGAAAATTTTATATTTAAATTAAAATTAATAAATTTTTCTGATATGTATTTCTGTTTATTAAATCATGTATAATAAATTTTTAATAAAATATTAATGAAAAATAATGAAAGAAAGGCTACTAGATAAAAATTATATTCAGGAAAAATTTATTATTTTGAATTAGTTGGGTTTTAATTGAATTTAAATGAAATATACTAACCTTCATCACCTGGAATACATCTTTGTCCGCTACCAACAACTGATTCACTATTTATTAATGGATCTTTTACTTTTTCCAATTTTAATAATCTTAATATTTGATGTTTCTCTGGATCAGATATATATAAATTACCATCAGCTGGTGATACAGCTAGATAATATTGATATGATACTTGTGTTGCACTTAATTGTAATATTGTAAAAACTTTTCCATCTGGTGTTATACGACGTACTAAATTAAAATCACCAACATATAAACTACCATCTGGACCAGATGCTAATGCAATTGGTGTTAATAATCTTGCATCTTTTGCAATACCATTACAATGATCTGGACAATTTAATGGTCTTTGTAAACCAGTACCCATAACAACTTTAACTGTTCTTGGATATTCTTTCATATGTAATGTACTACCATCACCTTTTTGTAATATACCCTCATGGAAATTATAATGATGATGTATATCTAAACCCCAACCACCAATATCTGATATATCAACATCATATCCTTGTAATTTAGCTGTTTGTGTATTCCATACTGGTTGTTTACAAGTTGAATGTTGATAACCAACAGATATTCTAGCAATTGTAACACCATATACTTTTTGCCTATAAACATTACGTTTATTCCATGCAAATGTATGTATTAAATTTGGATCAGCTTCATATGTTTTAACATGTAATGAACCTTCAATTTCAACTCCAACATGTACATGTGTTAAAGTTGATGGTATTTTTTCACCAGTTAAACGCATACGTACAATACTTAAATAACCTGAGGCTTGTGATGATTGATATGTTAAATGTAAACCGGAGCCAGGAATTTGTATTGATTCTTGAACAATCTATAGATAAATTAAAAAAAAACAATATATATATATTCAAACGTATGTATCGGAATATGTGGATATAATGAAATAATATTTAAAGAGTGAATGAAATAGATATAGAAATTTTTATTTTAAAAACATTTACAAATAAATAAAAATTTAAGGAAAAACCTAAGAACCGTTCACATTACCATTAATATCGAAAATTCTTCTTAAAAAAAAACAACAAGCAATAATAGAATATTAAATGATTGTGAACGCACATGTAAGTAGATATGCGTCATGTGTGTTATATTGTGAATAAGGAGGAAATTGTTATTCATAAAATGAAAAATTAATTCATATATTATCAGAGAGGAATATAGAGAAAATGTGAAATAAAAATAGCGAAAGCGAAGGTTTTATTTTATTTTCTTGTTTTCTCTCCCTCTCTTCATACTCTCTCTCCTAAAATAAATGTTTATTTTTACGACATCCCTTAACTTTTTTTTCATTTTATATTATTTAATTTTTTTTTCTATACTCGATATATGGAAATTGATAATGTCAGAAGATAGAGAGGTTCCTACAACAACTTTTCAAAAGTATGTTAGAAAACAATAAAGAAAATAGAAAAAAAAATAACGAAAACAAGGAAAACAAACAATTTTTATGTCTGTAGAATACAAAATAATCGGTTATCTCAAGGCATACGTAATATTTAAAAAAAAAAGGCAAAATTGGAAAATCGCTAAGAATAAATAACAGAGAGGGGGCAGTGTAGATGAAGAGAAGTATAGAATACAATTCCAGAAAATGAATGATAAGAAAAACAGAAACGAGAATTAAAAATTGGAAAAATAAAAGAGAAAAATTGATTTTCTGACCTTTCAGAAGACATTTCACATGTACTTGTAATATAATATTGACAACATGTACTGCACACACACATCTGTACATATATGCTATAGTAAAACCAAAAGTTTCATGTACGCACACATTTTCTATACAACATATTTTTTATAGTAGACGTCGCAAATTAGAAAAAAAACAAAAACAATAGAAAATTATTCTCAACAATTTTTATCGTTCATGTAACATGAATGTTTGTTTATGTCCACTATGTAATGCTCTCAATATACACGACGTATGTACAATTTTGTTGTAATTTATGTAATGGGATTACATGTCTAACGGCGAGATATTCTAATATCAAAATACTTTATAAATTTATATACGGTTATATTGTGCACGTGCACATACATAATCAATAATAGATGAGGTTATATATATATATGTATGTACATATAGATGTACCAATTTATATCTTTGTAGTGTTCATCACAAATACAAGCATACATACAAATATTGTGAGTAACATGCGATTGAACATAAATTGATTTGATGTTTTATTTTTCAACAAGAAATTCTAAAAAAAAAAGAAAAACAAAAAAGAAATTGTTTTTTTAAAAAGTTTTTTATCCTTTTTATTTTATTTTTTTTTTTGAAAAAAAAAAACAAAGAAACTTGTGGACATTGAGGAAAACTTTCACAAATCAAGTCTGAAATTCTATTTTGAAAAAACGAAAACTTTTCAATTTAATTATAATTCACAGTTAAATTGTTTTCCTGTGCTATATGGAATGGTTCCTGTAAAATACAATTTGTAATACGAATGTTATTTTGTAGAATAACTTTTGTACATACGAGCATACCTATACATAATTCACATTTTTATATATTCACATATCCTTAAATTAATTCCGGATCATGTGTTGAATTAATTTTTTTAAAAGATTGTGGGTATTTTACAATATTGTTTTATTTTCTATTTTAATTTTATTTATTCATGTATGTATACTTAACTATAATGAAGTAGATGATATTTACATGTGCGTATCTGAGTTAGATGTAATTTCATGAAGAAGTTTTAAGACACTTAAATTTTAATTTGTAAATGTTATTTATACACGTGAGCAATTTAAATATAAATTTCAGAATCGTCAGACTACCAAGAACTCAGTTACTGTCAAAGGAATCCAACATATTACGAATGTATGAAGATTGATTAAAAGAGACAAAATGTTGGCGGAAAAATAGAAACGGGAACTTATTTATATTTCTATGGGAGATAGTTTTTATACCCGCGGAATTTCATATATTGTGGGACCATTTATCTTATTTTGTAATGACGTATGTATAATACCTAGAGATAAAACGTCACCGAGTCCTTAAATATGTTGCATTCAAATCCAGAATTGAACAAAAAGTTTTTCTAACCATATAATATGTTTATCTCTTTATTGTGGAGATGTTCTTTTGAGAACAACTATTCTTAATTTCTTTTGTAGAATAAAAATATTGAAAATATACGTAAAATTTTAACTAATTATTATCAAATATATACGTACTCAAATATTACTAGACTAAATTGCTTTCAGAACCTTTTAATAAATTAATAATTTTCTTAAGATCCCATATATTATAATAATATTATGAGCTTATTGTTTCAAATAATTTTACTTTTTCTAATATTAAAATATTTTTCCGTATAATTAAAAATTACTTAAAGTATAAAATTTTTCTTTAAGTTATAAAAAAGGAAGATCGACAAAATACATATACATATACGTAATATGTAAATTCGTATTGCAAAATTAAATATTCCAAAGACGCAAATATTGTATTTTACTATCAAATTTATATTCTAATAAAAATTATTTAGGTTATAAATTGATATTGTGTTGTTAAATAAATATTTTAACATTTTATGAACTCACCTATTTATTTAAATTGGTTTTACTTTTAATAAAATACCAAAATATTTTAATAATTTAAAATAATAATAATAATAGTAATGTCTTTTGTGAATGCTCTTATTGAATTTTAAAAGATATACAATTTTCAATTTTGTAATTAAGGTTTAAGTAGTTCATATTCTTTAAAATAAAAGAGAAATTGTCGAAAATTGAAAAGAAAATTCTAATTTAAAATAAAAAGGGAAATCTAATTGTAAAATTGTTAAAAATTAAATTTGACAACAAATATGAGAAAATTTTTAATATATAAAAGTAAAATTAATTAAGTGCTAATCTTGAAAGTTTTTTATCTATTCAGATTTGCTGCTTTTAATGTTATTCTATTGAATGATATACCAGTTTTGGCACAAATTACCATAATTTATTTTGATATTAAATATTTTGCAAAAAAAAAAACTGTTAAAGGAAGGATTAAGTTTTAAACTAAATAAATGTGTAATAATTGCGAGCAAGAAACTCGTATAAACAATAGTTTTGTTGTTCCATAACTTCTATACAGATCAGACTCAGAAGTTGATAAATAGGTAGGTATATGAGGCTTTCAGAATCGAAGTAACATTGTACAATAAGGAGTGGTTCATTGTGAAAAAAAACTTTATATATTTGAGTTTATCTCAAAACTTAATTATTTAGGGCATTTTGAATTTTTAGCGGTATTTCTAAATTAGTAATGCACAAATTTTTTTTTGGAATTCAAAAAAAGCCATTTTCATTGTACGTAGATTTTTATAGCAATTTACTGTAACTTTTATTGGATAATAATAATAATAGTACGTTTTGTATTTTATTTTGTTCTGAACTTATATAGACAACAGATTTTTACAAAAATCGATCAATTCGATCTCATATTTAATTCCGCAGAAAGAATTTGTCCGAAAAAAATTTTAAGGTCAATTTACTCGAAACACGTTTTTCTTTCGACTTACTCAATTTTCTCTTTCAAAACTTATCGAATTTTTTGTATAAATAATGATGTTTGTAATGTTGGTATACAAAATTCAGGTCTATATAAAAATTTGTAAAAATATAGGAGAGTTTATCCTATAGTATTTTATATTTAAAATGAGTACATAGAGTATAATTTTCTTTCTTATTTCAAAAAACAAGAAAATAAAATTGTTTTCTAAAGGGTATTTGTGAAGTATACTTTGGAAACTTAAATTTAAAAGTATGTCATATATACCATAATTATATACATAAATATCATATATGTAGATATAGTATTGTGTACAATATTGTGTGTTTTTAATATAAACATGTTTGTTTATTATATACATATATATAATATATTATTAATAAATGAAGTATACATAATAATTTGAAAAACCTTTGAATTATTTAGTATGAAAATTCAATTTTAACTAGAAATTACATTTTAATAATAAATCACATATTTAAAACTAAAATAAAATAATTTTTCATTTTCACTTTTTAAATAATTTATATATTTTCTTTTTTTTTCTTTTCTATCTTTACATTTTAGGTCCCACATATATAGTTGGAATATATATAAGAAAATAAGTTACAATATAAATGACTTTTGTTTAAATATTAATGACTTTTTGAATTTTATTACTTAAGGTTTCCTACTTATACTTAAGGAATATAACATATTTTTTGTCATATAATATAACAACACAAACATAATGTTATTATATGCACCATAGTATAACATAATATAAATTGAATATATAGGAGTATATTATTACCAAAGGTATTTTAATAATAATATGTGTACACATCCAGATGGAATTTCAAAAAAAAAAAAAATTATATGTATAACAAAAACGAAAAGGAAGTATAAAAGAAAAAAAATAATAATTGATTTAAGTTTTTACTTCAAACAAAATTACATTTTATATGATATATCCTTATAATATATTTATAATATGTAAAGGACATTAAAGAAATTGTGTTTTTCTTTAGCTTAACATTTTATTTTCCATTTTATTTTTTTTTTTATTTCTTATATTTATGTATGTAGGTAAGATTTCTTTAGATCCTTATATTGAAAATTTAACGAGAGGAAATTTGGTATTTCTTGATAATATTTATTTAGTTTTTTCTCATTTCCTTTTAGATTATTTTATTGTTATACACATATATAATATGCATTGTATTTATATATGTAATATACGTACATAACATTTTATTTTTGTTTTAAGTCCATTGAGAGGATTTTATATATTATTGAAATTTAAAACCACATATGCATGC